TGCTGACAGCTATCTGTAGACATACACACGCCCCCACACACCACGAGCCCCTGCAGCAGGGCTGTGTGCTGCTCATCGAACGCTCCATGAGAACCAATCTGAGGACCCAACATGAAACAGTTCCCACTGCTGTCAGCCGTCACCCAGTCACTCCTGACTCGCGGCAAGGCCACGCGAGCGCTGTTGAATTGGCTCCAGGGGGTTTCTCAAGGCTGGGCCCTTTCAGAAGCCTGTCTTCAAGGCCCCACTGCGTGGTTTTATGGCACCACTGATTGAGAATAACCGGACCTGAGTGTGAAGGCCCACGTCCACGGGAGAGGACGAAGCAGGGAGCCAAGAGGGAAGGTCATTCAATTACACGACCATAGACAGTGGAGGCTCTTTGGGATTAGAGGTCAGATCAAGCAGACTCCAAAGGGCGGAGGCCTGGCTTGGACCCGAGTTTGAGTCCTGGCCCTGTGGCCCGCTCCCTGTGTGACACTGGCACGCCATTCAACTTCTCTGAGCTGCAGAATGAGGCTGCCCCCACCTCCTCCCACCCACCCCCACCCCCACTAACACACACACATAGGTGTCAGAATTGAACAGGCTGGTGCATAAAAAACGGCAGCCTTGTAGGTTGCTTTGACCTTTCCCTATCTCAGCTTCAGTCCCCCTCTCCCCCAGGGAATGGGTGGCAGGGGCAGGCCACACAGCTCCCCTCCATTCCGCCATTCTAAGAGGGGCTTGCGTGTGACCCAGTCCCCCTGCTTGGGGCAGACAGCTCCCGGGCTGCTGGTTACCGAGGCAGCCCCAGTTGCTGCGGCTGAAGAGTCTGTGCGACCCCTCCCGGGGCGGGCGGGGCTGAGGGAGGGTGTGTGGTGCGCTCTGAGGGGGTTCCCATTGCCAGAGAGCGGGTGGGGCAGACAGGAAGAGGGGTGGGGAGGAGAAGCTAGAGGGAGAGCGACGGTGTGCGTGCCAGCTAAGCAGAAGCCAGATGGTCTTTCTGGTTCTATCCATGCCACCTCGGACAGACAGCCTGCTTCCCGGGCCCACAGAGAGCTCCAGCATTTCTCGGTCAACGGGCTCCGACATTTCCAGACACTGAAGAGAAAGGCCTCACTTTACACAGCAGCATGCAGGAATGAGGGGTGGCAGAAGGGGAGAGAGGGGTGTGCCAGGGTCAGGGCCACAGCAAAAAATAAACTCCCTCCCAACCCCCCAGCATCCAGTGAGAGGATAC